GTAAATGTTAATCAGAAACAGTATATATTACGTATTCTCACTATTATTAGAAACTCAGATTCACGGCAATGGGCGATTATCCTGTCATATTTACTTAGTGTCAATCAGAAACAGTATCTATCGTATATTTCTAATATATCCTGAGACTTTGATATGCTAAACCTGTTTAACTCATATCCAAACTCAGGCCGTAGAGCGCATCATCTACAAACTGGATCTGCAGAACCACTGCGAGCGTGCGTGTGGGACGTACAGTGGCGGTAACAAACGTAAACTGTCCACTGCAATGGCACTAATCGGTGATCCTGGAGTTGTCTTCTTAGATGAGGTTTTCTTTTCTTTCTTTTTTGAAGATTTAAGGGGGGGGGTTTCTTTTCTTTTGTAGGAGTGAAAACTTGGTTGGGTTCAGTACAAATGTATGAGTGCTTGTGTAGTGAGTGATTGGACTAGTGTAGATGGCAGCCAATAAGTTCAATAGTACATTTTGGGTCAATTCCTGGAGCCTGGTTCTCAAATATAGCATGCACCCCCAAATGTATTGATTGTTTGTGTATCAGAATGTTCTGCATGTATATATATAAGCAGAAGTTAGAGTATGTATATACCTGCGTACTTTTTTTTACGTACACCGACATATATAAAGGTACATGTCTACATGAACTCTATAGCGAACGGCTGATATAGTCATTTGTATACTTACTTTGTATGTGAAAGCTCTGACCGTATTTTTGATGTATGTTTATTTTCGTTCTACGTATGTATATATGTGTATGTGTTGGTACATTGCATGGATTATTTGGATTAAAGTAGAGATACATACGCTTGCGCGCACAGACTCATATCAACAGAAATGTATACATAAGCCGTTTCATTTACGTATATAGTGCATCTGTGTGTTGAGCTATGCACAAACTCACAAATATATGCACACTGGTCCTGTCATCCACTCTTCTATCTACATTACAGCCGACAACAGGTGTGGATCCCAAGACAAGACGTTTCTTATGGGATGTGCTTATCAAGGCCACAGCAGAGGGACGGACGCTAGTACTTACCAGTCACTCTATGGATGAGATTACAGCTGTCAGCACGAGGTGTGTACGTGTTGTTCGAGCAATATGAATATACATGCAACTACACACAAATACATCTGAATATCCATACAACTACCTACATATACTTATGAAGATACATACAATTACACACATATATATATATATATATATATATATATACATTTGAATTTACATGCAGCTGCATACAAATACTTAAGAATATACATACATATACATATGAATTTCGTACAACTACATATATGTACATATGAATATACTTTGACTCCTATATATACGTCCTCGTTCCACAACCCACGCGGATTCTTTAAACTGGCATAAAATTGTCGTAGTCATTCATTCTGGCTATTGCGTTTACGTTTGCTTCACTCCCCGTAGAGTTTGTAGCGGAATGATCACACCTTCCCTTCTTTTCTGCTATATTTTGATTTCACTTCTGGTATACTGATACCTCATACTTTGATTTCACTTCTGGTTCATTTCTCTCATACTTTGGTTTCATTCCTTGTAGAGTAACTATTATGGTGGGGGGAAAGATGCGGTGTCTGGGCAGTCTGCAGCATTTGCGCAGTCGCTTTGGTCAAGGACTCACAGTCATCGTCAAGACAGAAAAGGGGGCCGATCCTGGTATGTTACGAATGCGATACGTATTAGATTGTAGATGTAGGCCAAAGAGGTGTTATATATATTTATATATTTATATATTTATATATT